CTGGACTTTATTGCACCAGGTGATGCTAATTTTAATTCCAGCTTACTGCTTATCCCTTAGGGAGGCTTGTAGGCTTGGCCATCGCATCTTTATCTTGAAGCCTGGCCTTTTTTCTGATGCACCTCCACCACAATTATGAGGCATTTATTGTTTCTACCGGCCTCCTTGAAATCGTAGTCTCTCTCTGACTGTGTATTCATTTTGATCTAACTTAGCTACCTATAATTCCCCTCTCATTCAATATATCTTACTTGTTATTTCTCTATAACATTATTGCCACCTGAACACATTTTTTATCACCTGCTTCTCCACTGGAATGTAAGCTCCATAAGGGAAAGGCTTTATTCTTTGTTTTCCCAAAGCTTGACGTAATGTCCGATACTAGTGAATGTAAATATTTACAGCATGAATTACTGACCTCACTCTGTGTTACATGTGGGGAAAGACCAAGCAAGGAGAATGTATCTTCAAAGGTTGGGCAACAGAGGCCTTGGAAGGGCCACTGCGGAATACAAATGAGACACAGTTTAGAGACCTTGAAAAACAAGAGGTGTAAGAATTCTGGTGATTTCTCTGAGGAAGAATTGTTACAAACCAGAGACTGCCACTGTTTTTCCCACTTATACTCAAGGGCCTGTGCTTCCTGTGTGATGAGCTTAAAGGTTGACATATTCCAACCATTTCAACAAAAGGATATGTTTTGTAGGAAAAGCTAGAGCTCTCTGACAATTTATTATGGGTAAGGAGCGGAAGTGAGCAAAGAGCCATCATTTTGTATCTCACAGAGAACACAAACTTCAAAACTTACCCTTCCGTGCACAAACAATGGCATCCTTCTGTCCCCTGGTGGCAACACTGCTGAATTGCATGGGGAGACACATTGCCTGAAAATGAGAAATCAACACAAACAAAAGAAAGCAAAGTAAAATCTTTCAAAGCCCGGTTCAACACAAGGTGTGTGGATTTTCTTGGGATCAAGCTCTCCCAAAGTTTAACCTCCACAAAACCAGATCTTGCTCCCTTACTTGTGTGAGTTCTGTATCAGAAGGCCCAGTTCAAAAATTATCCTGGCAATTACGTTTGGCTATAAAACACCACCCTCAGTTTAGGCCCCAGGCAACCTCTCCTTATAATCGTCTGTCCAGTGTGCTTATGGAAAGGATTTATGTTGTAGCGGGGAGGTTGGCACAGGCAACCTCGAAGTCCTCATCAACTCTGTTGATGTTGAGACTTTCTCCCCTAACCCACTTCAGTTCTATGAACCCTGGCATTGCCGAGTTTCTCTATCCATACTTTCCCTTGCTGCAGGCACCCACATCCTCCTTTTATGCTTCGCTGTGCACTCTCACTTCTGCCTAAATACATTTCACTTCTGAGTGTATGGCTGGAAATCTTATCCCTCTAGTGTGTCCTAATCACAGGTGACTCCTCAAAAGAATGGCTTTCTACTCGAACACGTGTACACACTACCGAAGGACAGTGTTCAAAGTAGGGAGATCCGTTCTTCCCCAGCTTGCTCTCACATTATCATTCAGTACATCAAGAATGCAGCCTGGACATTTTCGCTTCAGCTAGCACCGCAGGTCTCCCCACTGTGGGTGGTCTGCAGATTACATCTGGGAAGCACTGGCTGAAGTATTGGCATAGCAGAAGAGAATTCTGAAGTCTGCTTTTCTGCTTTTGCACTACCCTGATCCTCCAAAAGAAGAGTCGGGAAAGTTGCAGTGGTCATATATACAGCTTGATTTGTTCATAAGATGTGTCTGTACACTGATGTGGAGAAGAATATGATCTCAGCTGGCCTAAGCTGCTGATAGCTTGTTCTCGCTCTCTGGATTCAGGATCATGGCCAGCTTTGACCAAGCTTCCTGCTTGAAACTGCTTTCTTGCTTAGTGCCAGTATTTCTTCATTTCTGTCGTGTTAGGAATCAAACTCAAGGCCTTACTCATACTAGGTAAGCAACTCACTGCTGAGTTACATGCCTAGAGCTGCTGCCATCCTTAGGCACCATCCCACTTTAATTCTGTGAAGTCCCATAACACATGTCATCAGGAGAGAAGTACTAGTGAAGAGCCTGAACAGATGCAAGGGATTAGTTTAGTATCAGATCATCCATTACATATAAGACATATATTTACATATGTGTAACAGATATCTAAACATTAGAGCCTTGATTTGAAGTTTTTCTCCACATATTAAAGTTAAAAGAGGTTAATCTGTCCCCTTAATTTCATTAAATGCAGCTTAGAAAGCTGAAGTGATTACATGAAGACCACATAGCCAACTGGAGACTGAGTAAGGTTGAAAACAGAGGCTTCTTGCTCTCTGCCAAGCACTGCTGCTGCCCGCAAGAAGGCAAAGCCAAGAACATTAATGCCTTTAGTCTAGGTGAACACTGGTCTCTGTGACTTTGGATACTTGCACACTCTGACTCAACAAATGAGAAACTAAACCCTATGATACTCTTAGTTTAGCTCTCTGCTGCAAGTTCTATGCAGTATGCACGTTAAGGAGTGCACACACACACACACACACACACACACACACACACGCACATGGACAGATATGATATCCCAAGCATGTCGATAAAATTTACGCCAGATGGGTATGATTTTTGTGCTTTTGGGGGTGGGGGTGGGGTCTATGCTATGATTCACCATGAATTCCATTTTAGACCGATAATCTGAAGGGCTGGCACAGGATCTCTTCAGCCACATTTAGGCTGACAACTTGCTATATTGAAGCATCTTAATTATGTTATGTCGTAGCAAGACAGATTATTTTTACATTACAGAAAAACAATGAAAATATAATATGTAAATATACTGTATAACCCAATAATTCAGGTTCTAAAGTGTTTTGGAAACACGTTGTGTACATGGACATCAAGAGGTCTGAACAAAGATTTTCATAGCAGAATTGTTTGTAAGAGTAGGACATGAGAAACTATGAAGACGCTGTGGTGTGTCCACAGCATACACCACAGCATCTAAACTCAGCGAGGTCACTCTATATACAGTGACATGAAAAAAATTCCTAAGGTATATTGCTGTATAAAATGAGCAACCTGTAGAATCATATATATTATATAATAGCAAAAAATACATTCACATGTTTATATAAATGCAAAACAAGAGCCTGGAATCATGTACATCAAAATGACACCAATTTTTATTTCTTGGTAGTGGATAGAGAGGTAAAAGTCCAAAGACAAAATGTAAGGCAAGGTGGGTGTGGTGGTGCACGCCTGTAATCCCAGCACTCGGGAGGCTGAGACAGAAGGATCACCAAAAGTTTGAGGCCAGCCTGGGCTACATATTCAGTTCAAGGTCAGCCTGTGCTACATAGCAAGACCCTATCTCAAAAAACAAAGCAAAACAAAAATATGGCAGGAAAGGGTCTTGTTAAATTTTTATTACATTCTAATACTCTACATGAAAATATATTCATGTATTGTGTAACTTTCATTGTTTTAAAATTAATATACAATTATTTAACTATTCTAAACTATATAATACATGAAGGAAAAAGTGATACTTTTTCCCTTTCTCTCCTCCATAAGTTGATTTTTCTTTTCTTTTTTTGGTGGACATTTTCGTTGTTTTCGTTTTAAAATTTGCTATTAAAAACAATATTACAAAGGAAATGCTTGTTTGCTCTTCTCATTTTTTACTCATTTTGTTACTTAAGTAGTATAATCCAAAGAACTCTGGTATATGATATAAGTTCTTGGAAGTCTGACCATATGCTGCCAAACTGCCTCCAAAAAGAACATACTAATAAGTCACAGAACATTTTTTCTGCAGTGATGCCCAATCCACATTGGCACAGCTGCAACAATAGCAGCTGCAACCAGACACACTGATTGGGCCTTAAACGCAGACCATAGCTGACTTCATTTCCTACCCCTTGCCTAATAACCATTTGAGGAACAAATGCAAAGTCTGACTTGATTCACCAATTAATGAAGAGGGCTGAGTTGCAGCAGGAGGGATGGGTATATGCCTCGATCTACACCAAGTATGAAACCAAGACAAACTGGCTATCACCTACAGGCTATCTGTGACCCACAGACATGTTTCCTTTGGCCAGTACAACTCTGGATTATACTGATCAGCATTTAAAAAATCTGAGTCAGTGCCAAGTATAAAGGGAGAAGTGCTTAATTCCCATTTATGCGGTTTCCTTAAATGTAGTTCTCTTTGCACAGAACCAATTCACATAACATTCATGATACTTCTTCCCTCCCTCACGCACACCTTCTGTGGGAGATGGAGTGGTTTCCTCTTCTTTTCCTCTTTGTAGCTGGTTCCCAAAGAGACCTTATTCCTTGGCCATAAAAAGTCACGATTTTTCTCACAGTTTTAAATAAAATTATAAAGAACAGGCACCTAGTTTTACTTAAACTTTGCAATGTGATCCTAAACATTTTAAGATTACTTTTTAAATGTGATGATAAATGCAGGTGGTAAAAACACATTCAGTGACTCATAATTAGATAACACCCAACATGAGGAGAAGAGCAGAAAAGTGTTTTTTACTACAGAAAATATAATAAGATGCTGCCATCATTGAGGCAGAATACTAGCACTTTACTAACGTGAAATTATAGCTTTAAAAAATCTGAGTTACTATTTACATTTGAATACCCTAATTTTATATACTTAAGGTCCTTAATTAAAAGAAAAAACAGTAACAACTCAATTGCAATTGACAATTAGGACAAGATTCCTTGCCAAAAACATCATTAAAAGCTAATAAATAGTGACAGAGTATATTTCACAATGGTTTTTTAAATTCAAATTTTGTGTTAAAATCATAATGGGAAAATACAAGATATCAATCATGTTGCAATGGTGAACACTGGATTTGAGTTACTATTTTAATGATATTTATATGGGATAATATATTTATGTGATCCCATATTCACCCCCCACCCCGTTTAGAGTAAATGCAATACCATTTCTTTAGCTACTGAATGACCAGCCAGAAGCAAAAGTACAGCACAGAAAGATGATCTTTATTATGCTGTAACTAGAAACAGAGCAGAGAGCAAGCTTACGAGGTATAATTTGATGTTTTGAAACCAGGCTTCAACAACAGTAATCAAAAACAAGTCTTAATTGCACAGATATTTTGGTCACTATTATAATCTCCAGGGGCACAAAAGCCAGCAGCATAAGGTAATATAAAGGTAATGGCTAAAATTGTTAATGTATCCAAACACAGATCATTGTATTAAAGTCTCTCCTTTTATTTTCTTAACCTTCTTCTTAAAGTTGAAAAATTATTGTTACAATCACACACATAGCACTCCTATAAGAATACTGCCTTAATATTCTCAAGCTAACACTAAGCTTTTCTACAGAAAATTGAATGACTCAGGAGGCTGAGGCAGGTGGATTGCCATGGTTTTGAGGCCAGCCTGGGCTACATAGTGAGACCTTGCCTCAAAAAAAAAAAAAAAAATACAAGAATGAGTCATGATTCCAGTCTCTACTGTACTGTTAATGGTAATATGCAAGATTGATTTTGTTTTCAAGGTTAAATACCAGATTGACTTCGCTTTTGGTGGCCAGCTATGTACCCTAATCTTTAACTTTTATTTTCTTAATAAATTTAAAAATAGTTCTTAAGCCCTGAGATATTAGATAACTTGTTAATGATTGTATACTTATAATTTAGACTTTACTCCATTGAATTTACAGCCCCCTGAAGTTTTAAAAATTATTTACAAATGGCAATAACTAAAGCAATGATAAAATTTACTACTTGTATAGTTAAGACTACTAATAAGGCCTTTAACTAAGAGTTGCATATTTTACGCATTTTTAACTTGCTAAATACAACTCTTAAAATTATGTTTATAATTCTGTCACCAGAAAGTGCTCTTCATTTTGCTGACAATGTGGACAGTCAGTCTCTTCTCCTCTCTTATAAATGATCTCTTTTTTTCTTTCCCCAAACAAAAATGCTAGTTTTCCAGATGAACAGCTGCCAAAAGGAACTTGCATTTGAACAACACAATGCTAACTGTAATGCCTAACTGAGAAGTATGTTCACACAGGCATTCAATGTTTGTTCCACATGGATGAGTAGATTGTAAGGCAGTTGTCTGAATCATGTACTATTCATCATACGGTATAACTAATTTTGTTTAACTAGGAATTTCAGGTTATCAGATTTAATACAACCACTAGCATAAATCCAAGAAATTTAATTTTTTTTTTAATTTTTTTTTTCAGTTCTCAGAAAAAGTGAGCAAGTTAATCATAGTTCCTACTATAACATTAGTTACAGGAAAAAGAACAAAACTACTTTTCCCTAAATATTATACACAACTAAATAAGGGGAAAAATAAAACAAACAAAACTAAGCAGTGTTAGTTAATTCTTGTCATTGCTCCACATTTTTCCTTGTAGCTTTTTTGGTCACATATTTATCCATGGTAAGTTCTCTAGCTGAAAAATAATGCTATTTTCTGAATGGATTTTCCTATCTCCTTAGGTACTTAATAAGGTTCATGAAAAGCTGGTGTAAATATAAGATTATATTTCATATCATGCCATGTTTCTCCATTTATTTTTTTGCTAATATTAATTTTTTTATTTTAATGATGCCATATAGAATATCAGATAATCTGTTAATGTACTGTGAGATTATTTGCTTATAGTAGTCAGGTTTAGTTGATGGCTTTGAAGCATATTGTGCACTCGTCATCTAACATAGTAATAAGTAAGTATTACTCTTTTTGAAAAGGATACACTGACACATTCTTAAGTGAGCGGCTTTAGCCCAATATTTTTAGATGGTCACAGGACAATTGCAATGGCAAACACATTGACAATGCAGTTCATGGTTCGGTTCTCCCATCTTACAGTGCAGGTTCCTGGAAACACACAAGAAAAGAGCTTTCAAATATTAGTAAAATATCAAAATTACCAGGGCAGTGGGGATAGACATACATTTTTATACATTTTAAAATTATTTGTTTCATCAAACCTGTTATGCTTTCATATTTCATTTTCATACTTATAACTAGGTTTGAAAAGCAATCCTGTTGATAGAGCCTTACAGAATTTAATTAGAGCTAAATAAGCATTTGATACAAAGTATACTGACTTTGCTCGAAAAGTTTGATTTTGTGTGAATTAGTTTAAAGGTCTCTTACCATCAGATGTGGTGTCCCAAAAACATGAGCTGGCTGTGTGAAAGCCATATGCACTCCGCTGGACCACTGCACAGGTCACTACAAATAAAGTCACAGAATGAGGATACTTACAGACAAAGGGAAAGCCAAGACTGAACTGTTTGAATTCAGAGTTCTGAAAACTGACATTGTTGGGCATTGTGACATATCTCTGTAATCCCAGCATTCTGGGAGGCTGAGGCAGGAGGACTTCAAGTTTAAACCTAGCCTGGGCAATGCAGTGATTTAGTGAGACCCTGTCTCAGGTAAAGGGGAAGAGGGCACTGGGAATGTATCTCAGTGTGAAGGCCCTGGGTTCAATCACCAGTGATAAAAAATAATTTTTAAAAAGCTGAAAAATAGCCAGTGCACTGGAAAGACTCTCATCACAATTTTAAATGTACTGACTCAGGTCAGACCGTGGGTCACTGCTATAACCATTGGCAATTGTACTGCATGAAAATTCTGGGATAAACCGTATGCTTTGATGTGGGCAGAAATGAGACACAGAAATGCAGGAAATATTTCACTTTACAACTGAGTGTGACACATCACAGCCCTACAGAGAGGCATGAGATTACTGAAAGGAAGATAGAGGAGATCTCAGTGGAAAGAAAATTGGTGCAAATACAAAAAGTGTTGCTACCCAGGGCAAGGAGTTCAAGCTGCTTTTGAGTATGAAAAACCTTCTTTTAGGTATTATTATATACTATCTTTAAAGGAATAATCAAAAGCCCTTCACATCCTATTAATATCCACTTTCAGTGCCTATTATTTATTTATGTTCTCAAAATTCAGAGAAAATCATTAGGACCAAGGTGGGTGAACCAGGGAGGAAGGACACTGACGCTTACCAATGTATTTGTAAGCTTTCCCCAGCTTAACCAAATGTGCGAGCGACTGCTCCACTATGCTTGCAGTCCACTGGTTGATGTTGTTCTGGTTGTAATCCTCACCTCCTAACACCCCATCCACACACTATAAGGGCAGAGGAAAGCTAAATTAGCCGAGACAAATGAGTTTTACATAAATGGCAATAAAAATTTATTCAAAGCATAAAATACATAAACACCACAATAAAGCATCTTAGAAAATATGTGCCTGGAGGTATTTATTTCATGCTATCTCTGGTTGCTCAAGAGTTTTCAAAGCATTTCCACACACATCACCTCACTCTGTGAAATACTATGGATCACAGAAAGATAAATATACCAAGGCTGTTGTGGTGAAGCACTTAATCTAGCAGGGACCATAATAAGACAGTCTCTAATATCTACAACATAAAAAGGACTAATCATAGATGGTAAGTTATAAAATGACTACAGCAGAGGAGGGGCTTAAAAGAGTGATATTAATTGGTTAAGGAGTAGCTTTGAAACAGCTGGGATTTAAACTAGGGCTAGAAACAAGGGATGAGACTAATTAAAAAGATATTTCTTGTGTATAATAATTATTATTTTCATTCATACTATGTAATTGCTTAGCTATAAACAACTAGCATAATTGCCAATGAAAGCAGATAAAGATGCTTTGGAAAGGGCAAATCTAATGCCCCACAGTGCTCACTCGCATTCACTCCTGACACCTGATCAAGTACACTGGCTTTAGAATTATAATCCTAGGTTTTAAGGCTAGCTCTGCACCTAGTCACTATGTGACCTTTAGCAAGCGACTTACATCTTCAAACCTCTATTTTCTGAATCCTTAAAGGAAGGATAAGGGCATCTTCTTATCAGGTTGTGGAGAGGGTAACATGAGAGAATGAATACCAAGTGCTCAAACACAGTCACTGGCACAAATAAATTATTATTATCATATTGCTGGTGCTTTTATATTCAAGTGATAGAACCTGGAAAATAAAGCGTTCATTCACTTTGAGAATACAGTTTAACACACACATGCACAAGCCCATACATGCATGTACATGTGTGCTTTGATTTTGAGATTATAATAAAGACTCATAAAGATGTTAATATAGAATATTTAGCTGAATAATATGAAATCTTGACTAATAATAAAAGGTAAAGGGGCTGGGGATTTAGCTCAGCGGCAAAAGCGCCTGCCTGGCAAGCGCAAGGTCGTGAGTTCGGTTCCCGGTACCGGAGAAAAACCAAAAAAAAAATAAAATAAAATAAAATAAAATAAAATAAAAGGTAAAAAAAGAAATACTTCAGAGGGGTTGACAAAATTAATGTGACTCAAATTATTCTAGAAAGTTCAGTAACATGACAAATTAGGAAGGACAGGAGACTAAGGGTCAGGGGAATAGAGTTTTAATTCTAGTTCTATCACTACAAAGCGGATGACCTTGGGATTAATGTTTTGCTCTTTTCAGATGGCCTTTCCTTAATGGGAAAGTAAGAGTGGCTGAGTTTTGCTTGTTTGTTTTTGTTTTTTTACCAGGCTGTCTAATAGGACTATTCCAAATTCTGCTCTAAAAAATCAAAAACACTATGAGGATGTGGCTTCCAATGTCAATAGCCCTATTAATTAATATTAACTAATATTTGGTCTAACTACCAGAACCCAAGATGCCCACTAGACAATGAAATCCTTAAACAGCTCTACATTCCCAAAGCAAAAATCAGCAGGATACATAGCAAGTACCTAATAGATGTTTGGTGTTGATGCAGTATTGCTTTGATATGCTCCCTGGCATCCAAAATCCACTTTAGATTAAGTTCCAAGTTAATTTGATCTGTAAGCCACTTTTTCTTTGAGGATATTTTGAAAGGAAGAAATCTTCCTACTACCAATAAAGAAAATGTATGTATATTACTTATTAATGAGTGAGTCTAAAATTCAGCAGAAAAATACATTAGCATGGAGGTACAGAACAATGAATTAAAGGAAAAAAATAAGATGAGCAAGAGATATGGAAAACAGAAATAACTACAGATAATGACGTAACTGCCTAGGAAGTGCTGAGATGATTTATCATAGTGCTCACTCTCAAAATGTTTCTATAACAGAAAAAAGTTGGCTCACAAGAAAAAAGGAGGGAGTAAGAGCAGAGACATGTAGCTCAAAGTAACCTGTAGTAAGTCAGAGATTTCTTTCAAATCCTATGTTTCATATAAAAAATTCAAATGAATCTTGCTTTTGACACTTAATGTGTCAGTTTGTATCAAAAATGTTTTCAGTTATTTATATTGCTTAATTCTTTCTTGCAAGTACAACTTAAAATTCATGCTCTAAAATGTATATAGGGCTGGAGATTCAGCTCAGTGGTGCAGCACCTGCCTGCTAAGTGTGAGCTCCTTAGTTCAGTTCCTGGTTACCTCCCAACAAAAAATGTAAATAGTAGCGTCTAGCACTACCTAGCCACTGCCATGTATGTGCGTCCCAGTTTAAGTAGCATAGTTCTTTTAATTCAGTAAAACATCAGATTAACATATACCAAAGTATGCCTACTCATCCTTCGCTTCCCCTTCCCCAATCCCATTCACCAGAAGAAAACACTTTCAGTGTACAGCTGTGTATTTTTCTAGGAATTATGTATCTCCAAATAACATTTATATCAATATTTATTGATTTATGAGTTATAGACAACATCCACAGAATGTGTGCTATGACAGATGACAATTCATTTTCCTCAGGCTACCTGCCTTCTTCCTCCCATCTCTCTCTCTCTCTCTCTGAAAATAGTGAATTCACTATTTTTAATTCGATACAGAATGACATTATTAGGAACATGATTCTTTTCCACTCCTGACAGCTCCTTCCTGTAGATTTTTCCTTAATATCCCTGGCCTTGTATCCCAAAAGTTATTCCTTCCCATGGAGATGGAGTGAGGTATCTGTTTTTTTTTTTTTTTTTTTCCGGTACCGGGAACCAAACTCATGACCTTGCGCTTGCCAGGCAGGCACTGTGCCGCTGAGCTAAATCCCCAGCCCCTGAGTGAGGTATCTGGTTGCTGGGTGCCGATTGCTGTTGGATTTACAGGTTTGGACAAACATCTTGGATTTGGATTTTTGTTTCTCCTGTCCTCTCTACCAAGATGAATGAAAGGCATCAGTCTGGGTGTTTCTCTTTGCTAACTAAAGTTTTCCCTTGGATATCTCTTCCAAGGTCTAAACTAAGCAGGAGTAATAAAACACCCTACAGTCATCTATCTAGATTTTATCCATAACAGGGGTGTTTTTTTTTCTGATGACAATTTTGTCTTTTTACCTGGTTCAGCACTTGAGTAAGGAAGAAGGTACTAATTAAAGAGACCCCTCCAAAGTCCCAGTATGGTTTCTTTTATGTTCCATTGAGCAAGAATAATTTCTGTTGACTATTTTGAAAAATGAGATTATCACTCTTGTCCTTCCCATTAACCTCTACTTCCAAATTTTCCTCATTTGTGCATCCACATTGTTTTAATAATTATTATACAATTAATTATTATTATATAAGTAAATGTTTTGGACTATATGGTGCTAGTACATGATTTTGGCCTATTAAAATATGGCAGGATTTTCAGATGCCTGTATAGCACTCTCAGACACTTAGTTGTTCCTAGGTGTACCAGCCAGACCTGTCTGAGCTCTTTGTGAGCAGGTGCCTCAAGAGCAATCAGGCAGGTGAGGCACTACCTCAGGATGCACTGACAATGAGAACAATGCGGATCCAGCCCAGACTTAGCCCAGTCAGGGCCTGCTAGGAAACAGGCCCCAACAGCCATACAAGACTGCCTTCTGGACTGGCTCAGTTTTTTTCTAGGACTTGGCAGAGTTAGAGATGACTAAGTACTACTAAAATGTTCATAATTACCTTTCCCACAGTGTAATCTATACTGGTATCACTAGAATTACTAAAGTTCTTCTGACAGAACCGATTCCCAAGGAGAATTTCCTTCCTATCTGCTTAACCAAGGACCAGATTTCATGTTTCTGAGTTCTCTTAAGATTTTAGTTTGCCATAACATCAGTGCCTAAAAGATGTGAAGTGATGGATTTCTTCCTGTTATATTGGGTTAAAACACCAATATACTGGCCAAAGGCAGACATTCTTAGGGTCTTGTACTATTCGATATAATAATGTACATATATATCATACATGAACTTTATATTATAAAAAGTACATATATATGCATACACATATACATATACGCCTTTATAGAATCACAATTAAAATAATGGTCTACTGGAATAAAAATTATTTTATTCAAAAGACAGGATATCAATTTTAGAAAACAGAAAAACTATTTTCTAGACTAAAATGGTTCTTAAGCATCTCTTTCACAGTAAGTTTCAAGATGTTCAACAATATGTTAAAAAACAGAAACAGCAATTGTTTTAAATCTTACAGTTTTAGCATTAAGGTTTCTACCATTTAGTGACAATCAAAATATAGATTTTTTAAAAATTGCTATCAATGCAGTAAGCTTCAAAGTGAATATGTCTAACTCACCTCTTTGACGATATTGTGGGCTTCATCAGCATTGAAGCCAACCTAAATGGTAAACAAGATAAAACTGCTTTCAGCACAGGCTTTTCAGTTTGTATATATGACAAGGCTCAGAATACCTGCAACTGTCCTAGACAGGTGTTAGTGACTGGAGACCATAGTAATAGGATGATAACAAACATCAGCTCTATTCTGCTCCAAACTCTGAAAAGTACAAAATGCTTTCCCCACCTCTCTCTCTGGCGATCCTAGTTCATTAGGTCTGGGAAGAGCCTGGGCAGCTACAATCCTTTGTACAAGTGCCTTGTACTAGTGATTCTGAGGACAATCCTGGATTGAGATCCACCACATTGTAAAGTTTATGAACTATAAAGGGAGTGGTTGTAAAGACTTACATGTTATTATTATACTGAAAATGGTTTCAGTTAAGTGAGAAAATAAAGTGACCCATAAGAAGAGAATGCTTCATTGGTTATTTTCAATTTTGTTTTTTAACTTAGGCAAAAATGTGGCTTTCTTGAATTAAACATTATTACAATACTTGATCATGCAGTATTAAGATCACTTTAATACTATAAATTGGTCCCCAAAGTTAAGTCTTTTCTTTGGAGTATCTTGGTAGGATCCTGAAATAACAGCAACTGTCGATGACAATCAAGTGTCCTAGACTACAGAACTAGGTTATGTGATAAGACTGAAATCTAAACCAAGACACTTCAGGTAACGCAAGAGTCATTTGCATGGAGGCATTTTTAGGTGCTTACATCATCAGCAATTTGGTAAAAAAAATTTAAAAACTATACAATTTAAAATTCCACTGGTAAATTCTGAAATTATAATTTTGAGTATAGATGTAAAATTTTTATAATTCATTTGATTACTCTCCAATTTTCCAAAACCAAAGAACAAAACATTACTTCTTAGGAGTATTATGAAAAGAGCATTACTAAGTAGTAAGAGTAATACTATTAAATATTTAGAAGTATTATGAAGTTTCACATTTTAGCCCTATTAAAGATTGTTTTACCTTAAAATCATGTCCTTATCTGCTGTCAGATTTGGTCTAGGAATCAAAAGATACTCACTTCAATTTGGAGAGTCACCTAATAATCTACCTGCACACTCTGCTACATCGCCAGCCTTTTTTTTTTTTTTTTAAATTTTGAGGCAGGGTGTCAGTATGTCGCTAAATTTCCCAGGCTGGAATCAAACTAGTGATCCTCCTGATTCAGCCTCCCAGAGTGCTGGTATAATAAGTATGCTACACCACTCCTAGCTTCAAATTCTTATTTTCTAAAATTAGAATACCATTGACCTGTAAATATGTATGCTACCTGCGACAAAGAAACCCCTTCCAAGGACCTAATGCATCGTTTTATGCTGCATCTCCGTTACAGAATTACTTTTCTTTTCCTGCATCATTCGCCAGTGGTTATCGTGGGACACAAAATGCCTTTGTCTATCGTGCCCTTGCAAGCTGTCACAAGTTATGCTCTGATTCGGCAGGCCCCACCCTCCAAGTAGCTACAGTCAAGCAAGAGCTGTTGCAGCTTAATCAGAGGCCTGGATTCAAAAGGAGCACCTGTCATTTCGAACAGTTTTCACTTGGGGCACTTCAGTCGCCATGAAGTCACAGTTCCCATTAATAATAGATAACAACTGGCATCATGAGATTTTGGTGAGGCTTAGGAACCTGAGTCAGCAAGCAAAGGCCCCTAATCTGCAAAGTACCTCCTTCCAACCCCTCCTCCAGACCCACAGGAGCGAGTTCCCCGGAGCAGGTGCGGCTGAGCCACCAGGGCCCCAAGCCTCTGGGCTCAGACACCTGCTTCTGAGGACTCCGAAGGGCGGAGGAGGCAGAGAGAAGATTGGTTTTCAAGGCCAGCTTGGCAGACGGGTGGGGCCCGGTAGTCCTCGGCCACATTTTCACCATCTTTGCCGCGATCCCCAAACCCGACCTAGCGCTTCCGCAGCTGTCCCTTCAGCCAGCCCACCCTCAGGATCTCGGGGGCGGAGGGACGGCGAAGACCACAGGGGACGGCAGAGGCTGATCCCCGGCCCAGCCGAGAGGATCCGGGCTCAGAGGACGCCGCATCCCACCACTGCGGACTGCTCCGAGCTAGAAGACCACCCGACGGGGACCCCGCACCCAGGCGGGCGGGGCCGGGGGCGCCCCTCGGCGCCCGAGGGGCGGTACCTCGTCGCAGTGGCGGTGGTACTCCTCCATGCTGGCGCCGACTCTCACCGGGGGCGGAGCGAAGAGCAGGGCGAGCTCTGCGGCCGCGCACTGGCCTCCGGGGAGGCCCCGCCCCCGTCTATGGCCACTGGCTTGGCCCCTCGGGAGCCCGCCTGTTTGCCGTCCGGGTACCACCGACCTGGACACCTGGGGCGGGCGGGCCGGACTGGGCTGGCGGGAGGGGATTGGGGGGTGAGTCAGAGTCGTCCCAGGTGAGGGGAGGCTTCTGGGCAGGCCGTGCTCTTCAGACCAGGCCCTTTTGCCTTGTTGCTTATGTCCGCCCTTTCTGAAAATAAAGCATGCATGTTAAAGACCTAGGAATGGTGTCAGTGTGGATGAGATGGGGTGACCTAGTGTCAGTCTGTCTAGGCTCCACACATTGGCTTAGTGCTCGCTGCTGTGGTTATTTGAACATAATTTGCCCATTCATCATAATCCAGCAAATGTAGTTAATAAAATAGTGGACAAGCATGTTTCTTAGAAAAATTATCACCCCCACCCACAACTTTAGTTTTCCCATAACAAAACATAACCATATCTATTTCACTACAGGCTATGAGAATCAAATGAGATGCACAATGCCTAAAGTAAATGCTCCTGCGTCCCTCTCTGCCTCTAAGATTATGTATAAAGAAATATATGACTTATGAGGGAGAAGGCAGAATATACTAAATTAAATGGATAGGAACTTAAACGTTGGCAGATCAGTCATTTCCAACTTTTTTCATTTAAAGGCCCTTGTAGAAGTTAATACCTATATAGTAACTTCAGGTAAACTAGAGGGGTTTTGTGGGCATCCTTATGGGTTTTTTCCCAAAATATATTTTCTTCACATGATGTAACCTCAAGGGAAAAAAAAAAAGTAGAAAAGATGCTAAAAATAAATTTGCAAAAACTTCCAAATAAAATATGTTCAAATGTCTTAGACTCTTGGCCTTGCTTTCATGACTATAACATTTTATAACTCTATGTTTTAAAGAACTATGAGTAATTCCTGTTGTTTTTAATGATTATTTTCTACAAATCTTAATCAATCTTACTGATGAGGAATCGTCCTCACAGAAGTAGGTAATAAAACATATACACCCATATTATAAACCATTCCATTTATATTTCAAGGTTTCTTTATAATGGTGTAGGAAGTAATTAGGACCATCCCTTTCACTGACAATTATAAAGAATGGTCAATATATAATACGCAGTTGCTTAAGGGAATTGGAGCTTTGAGAATGTGAAGAAGAAGTATGCATATAAAACCTAGGATAAGAATGAAACCAAGAAGGCCGAGCATAGCATCTGTGACAATGTTTCACCTTGTGGTGAGAAGATACTGAACTTCTTGCTTATGAGCTAACAGGTAAGATAAATACATCCCATGACCTGCCAACAATGGGAATTCTGGTAAGCAATCATACTTGGAATTGAAATCCCAAAGATTAAGATCTAAGAGTAAAACACCAAAATTTTGCCTTGCAGGGATTAAGGTCAGTTTTAAACCACTTGAATCCCTGAAATTGAACTCCGAACTAATGCCTCTGGGCAACTTCCAGAAGCAAATGTAAATTCTCTCTTGAGTAAAATATTAACTTAGGGATAAGTTTAGATATATAAATTTCCACATACATTAATTTCACAAGAAAATTTAGCTAGGCAATTAAAGAAACAAAACAACATTATCATAACCAAAAAAATAAAGGATCTAGATGGTGGAGTTATCAGAGATAGAATTGAAATAAATATGCTTACTGTATCCAAGGAGATAGAATACAAGGTTGAGAATTTCATCCAAGTACTTACTGGTCACTATAAAAATATCCGGTGGAATTCCTTTTTTTAAACAGGGTTTCTCCACGTAGTTTAGGGTGTCCTTGAACTCATTCTAGCTCAGGTTGGCCTCAGACTCATAGCGATACTTCTGCCTCAGCCTCCCAAGTGCTGGGATTGCAGGCCTGCACCACCATGCCCAGTGAAATGAAATTTCTCGAAGTGTGATAATAACATAACAAAACAAAACGTTCCCAAACCTTAATGGATGGGTTTTATGGTGGAGATAGTGCTAAAGATTTAGTTAGTGAAGTTTAAAAAATTGGTCAGACTATTAAAAATAAATCACAGTGATATAAATAAATGTAAAATACAGAAGAAAGCATAAATATAAAAAGAATACCATGAGAAAATTTAACACACATAATTGGCTATCCAGCAGACAATATGTGAGCAATAGCTGGTAAAACTGATTAAAGAAATTTATTAATTACAGTCTTATGGGAAGCTGGCAGACCTTTCAAAATATAATATTCAAGAAGGATTAATTTACAATGACATATGTTATGAAAATACATTGCTATAAATCGTAAATAGCTCAGGAACCTGACATACTTTATACTTTTCTCCCTGAACATCTATCTTCTTGCCAAGGTACAGGAGCAGGAATCGTAGCAGCTATTCCATGTAACTTGATAGCCTCTTCCTTTCAATCACCGTTTTGTCTGAAGCACAGGGATTGTGGCTCTTTTTTAATTTCAGGTGGTTATTCCCACATTCAAATGGTACAGTAATTGATTGGACTCCTTAGTGTGTCAAGCAGTACATTTCAGGCTGAACATCCAGTATAGTTCGTGACCCTGTGATTACAGGTGCAATTAATGTCATCAGGATAATGAATCAGTCTCATGTAGTACAGCTATAAGACATGGAGGACTTCTTCAAATCTGCTGTGGAAGCCTTCTCACCCTCTGATTCATGCTCTTCATTTTATATTCATAAGTCTTAATTTATATTTTTCCCTATATGTGTTTATAATAAGCCACCAGGTGACTGCAATGTTTATTAAAACCCTTGTTGTCATAGAGACTAAGTGCTACAGCTTCTCAACCTCCTATGCCTTGCCCTGCACCTGCATTTCATCTTCTGTGGTGAGATGAGTTAATTACAATGTGACTTCATGCCATGAATTACTCATGCCCCATTTCTTCTCATCAAGAATATTATCCATGAACTCCTTGAGTGTATGAACAATTCCTTTCCAGAATTTCATTGTGAGGATCTGGGTCTACTTTCTAATATCCTGTATTAATCAAGATTCTTCAGAAAAACAGAACAAATAAGATGTGGGGTGTGTGGGTGTGTGTGTGTGTGTGTGTGCCCGCGTGTGCACTCAGAGATTTATCTTAAGGAATTGGTTCACACAATTATGAAGGCTTAGTAAGTCCAAAAGTTAATAAGATAGGCTAAACTTGCTGCAGACTCAGAAAACAGTTCCAGTTTGCAGTTTGATTTCAAAGGCGGTCTGCTTTAGAACCAGGAGGAGCCAGTTTTGCAGATCAAATCCAAAAGCTGTCCTGTCTGGTCGAGAATTCCCTTTTGCCCTATTCAGGCCTTCCACTGATTGGATAAGACCTCCTCATATAAGGAAGGTAATCTTTACTACTCAAAGTCTATCAATTTAAATACAAACCTCAACCGGAAACATCCTCACAGAAACATCCAGAATCAGGACACTGAGTATCAGGGCACTGTGGCCCAGCCAAGTTGATACATTAAATTAACTATCAGAGATTCCTTCTGGTACCAACTACCATATCAGCCAGGTTGCCAAGAAACAGATGGCCTGCTCAAATTGGCACAAATCAAAGAGTTTCATTTACAAAGGGATTAATTCAAAAGTGAACAACAAGTGATGGTATGAGAACCTGGTCCTTGTAACAGTGCAGCTGTTATGACTATTAAACCCAGAATTTTGATGGGAAAGAAGTTTGAACAGTCATGTCAATAGGGCCACATTGAAAGGATTATTGACTTTTGTCAGAATATAGAAAACCCAAGGTGACCTCTCCCAAAGGGAATCAGAAGAATAACGACCCTGATCTTTTCTCCTTTTCTCTGCTCTTCAACTCAGATTTCTCATTGGCTGAATCCATCTGGATACTAGAAGGCCTGAGAGCCATTAGGATTTATATACGTCAGTGACTAAAGGCTTAGCTCAGTGGGCGAGCTCTTGCCTAGCAAGCATGAGGCCTCCTGGTTTAATCCACAATGCAACAATAACAAAAGCAGATAGATCAGCTTCCAGAGACAGAGGGTTGGGCTGAGCATGGATGGGGAGAAATAGAGCATTCCTAGTACACATCTCAAGCCATGGATCCAGCAATCCCTAGGAGGTGCAAGTAGAATTTTAAAAATAACATATTTTTGCACATCATAGTAAATGGCTAAACCCTCAAAGGAAAAGTTGTGAAGTAGCACCCCCCTAAACAACTACATTCAGAAATGAAACAAGAAGACTGACATTTGACTTCCCACAGAAGCAGTGCAAACAGTGTATTTGCCTTCAAAGACAATATATTTGACACCTTGAAAATTGTGAAAGAAAACATTGTGAATTTACAATGTCTACCCAGCAAAATAATCCTTCAAAGATGATGTGAAATAAGAATTTTTCTCAATAAAAAGAGAAAATTATTAGCCAGCAGAAGCACCAATCAAAAAATATCAGAATCTATTCTTTAGTAAAAGACAAAGGATCAGAGACAGGAATTTGGAAAATATAGGAGGAATGAAGGAGTAATTAATGGCTGGGCATGGTGGTGCATGCCTGTAATCCCAGCACTGGGGAGGGACGCTGAGGCAGAAGGATTGCTGGGAGTTAGAGGTTAGCCTGGGTTATGAAGTGAGTTCAAGGCCAACCTGAACTGCATAGTGCAGTCTCAAAAAGACAAAAAAAGGAGTAATTGAACTGGCAAATCTGTCAATAAATTTAGTGATTATGAATTCTGCTAAGCAATGATTAGAATACCTTAAAAATTTATAATATACATCAAATTTAAATATAGGGCAACTATACCATATAAATTGAAGAGAGGGCTGCTTGAGTTAAAGTATCCAAAGGCTTTTTCATTGCCCAAGAACTGAGTATACGTGCTGAGTAGTACCACACACTCATACCTCCAGGATGCATGTTGTATAGAGCAAGCACTAAATAAAGGTTTGTGTAACATACTGTACCAAGCTAAAAGAGTGGAAAACATCATCTCAAAAATACTCGCCAAAATATGTAATTAACCC